TTTTTTTTTTTTTATGGAATAGGAGGCAAACGAGCAGACGGATCACCTGATGGTAAGCGATCAGCGCCGCCCATGGACACCCGCAACACCAGAAGAGTCACAGGTGCGTTGCCGGCCCTTTAAAAAGGAGTACGCTCTTCTCTTGAAGGTTTGAAGGTCGTATCAGTTCGGAAATACCGCCGACGATAGATCATTCCACAGTTTTGCTGTGCGAGGCAGGAAGCTACGTGAGAACCGCACAGTTGTGGCCTGCCAACCATCTATATGATGGTGATGCATATGCTGTCGTGAGGGTCGATGGCGAAAAGATGCGTTCCCCGTTTCCAAGTATATAAGTTTCCAATTATTTTCGAAATAAAATTGCATTAGTATGGAAATGGTCTCCAATATATGGCATTAAGTTCACCCTCCATTTCTTAAACAATTAATATTAATAGCGAAAAGTTATACTTGTTATGTGAACCTGTCTTTAAATCGCAACAAATAAAGTCCCAAACATCGATGCAAGCGTGTGGAAATATTGCAAACTGTTTGCCGAACAACCTTTGATCTGTTGTTTGTCATCGGATTCAACCGGGGGCCAACATGAATAAGAACAGCATATTTAAAGACGCATCCACAGGCGTGTTTGCTGTTTGACATTTGCTATTTGCCAAGTAAACCCGGTATAAAAGTCATAACAATGCATGACGTTGGTTAATCATCGACAAACTAGTTATTGCAGCTAGTAATTGCAGTTACTCAGCTTATCAACCGTTGTTGTGCTTTTATTTATCATTAATTCTGTCTCCTGCACTAATTCATCGAGAGAAGTGGAAACTATCGTTTTTTTCTTCTCCAATTATAATATTATCTTCTCATTTATTTTGTTGCGGGAGCCAAGATAGTTATTCATGTCCCTGGGACGCGCTGGACTTCAATGTTCGGGTGATTTCATGATTGTATCTACTGTAGATCCTGGCTTACAGGAGTTGCAGCGGTTTTGGGAGAAAGTGGCGGAGTTGTCCCTTTAAAAACCATCGATGTTCTGAGTTCGTAACTCAGAATCCCAAACAACGTTGTAACTAGACTAACTATTAATGGCTAAATGTAACGTAAAATTTTCTTCAGCTTCTTGTCTTTATTATGATCATTAGTCACACGCCTGAAGGCTGAAGATAAACTATTTATTGTTCATGTCTAGAGATTCTGTCTAAATATGTTAGATGAAATAATATTTTCACAGAGTTAATATAAGAAGCTAAGCTAGAAATTTGTATGAAAATGAAATTTTAAATAAGTATGACTAAAAATATAAACCTATGACATAGGTAGGTATTATTTACCTTTTTACGTTGGATTATTTCAAATCTAAAACGGTAAATCTATGATGTTATACATTTTACTAAGTGTTATCAACGTGCAGTCAAAACCAAAATTAATCAAGTTTCTATAAAAAAAATATTACTACAACGCAAAAAATCGAATGTTATATGCATTGAAAAACTTCGTCCGAACTTCACAAAAATCATTTTATTTTATACTTTTTCAATTTTAACATAACGTATTTCTACCAAAAATTTTTCTCTGACAATTTAAAATAACTGACCCACTTTTTAAGAGCACAATTTTATTTGTTTGAACAATTTTTGATTTTTGTTTGATTCTCTACGAATTTAGATGAAAATTAAATTTACATTGATTTTAGGTGGACAATGTAGTTAACTCACAGTATACATTTGAAATTATATACAATTTTTTCAGTCTTTTTAATTATGTACTTGACTAGCTTTTGCCCGCGACTTCGTTCGCGTGGAATAGTGACTTCCGGCAGATTTTACGACACATAGTTCCGGATCTCTTCAAAAATGAAATGTGGAAGATATTCTAGGGAACTCTTCAAAAATCAACATAATGAGCTCTGCGTTTGAATTGAAGGTATATATATACTCACTTAGGGCATTAAAGCCGTTATTGCCGTTCGAAAAAGGCGAAAATGTTGTTATTCCCTTATTTTCAAAATATTATTTTGATTTGCCATTTCAGAAAAAAAGACTGTCTCCCTTGACAAATTACCTAATCCCTTAACACGTTAAACGCCATGGCAGTCACCGGTGACCGACATTAGCGGAGGATTTGCCTTCAACAGTTTTTTATTGGCAGCCAATGCCTTAACAACCAAGCTTAAATCTATAATTAACTTAAAACTATATAAAAGAACGATCTAATTAATTTAAAAATTAAAATGAATTTAGACATACAATTTTAGTATCTACTAATAATCAAGATCAAACTAAACATACATTTTACAACAACCAGACAACCCAACAAATAAACCTATCTCCTATTACGACGGAACCAATTTTAGATTTACGAAACGATCAATCCTCAATTCCACGACAGTACCGAAGCATTCGGCCGATACTTAACCAAATGCGTGTAACGAAACCATAGCGCGATCAATTTGATCTTAACGCCATCTATCGAGCATAGTGACAACTCGGATTATTTATCTATACTCCGTTCGGGCATTTTCTTTGTACTAAAAGTTTTATTATATAGATATTATTTTTTCATACCTTTTTACTATTTATTTACTTTTTTCCGATGATTTAAACCAATAACATGAACCGAACTCGTGTAACGATCGACACCATTGCGCGATCACTAACTCGATAATAGAATTATCTATACTCCGTTAGAGTATTTTATTTGTACTTAAAGTTGTATTATATTATATTTTTCATACCTTTTTACTCTATAATTACATTTTTCCGTTGAATTTTCAGTACTGAATTGATGCCGACTCTATACCAATAGATGGCGCTGTATGTACGCAATAA